AAACGAATTTATGTGAGAAAAAAAAAAAAAAAAAAAAAAAAAACTGTGAAACCAAAAGAAAACAAATGCCACGCAATCTGTATAGGAAAATAACAATGAAACATGAAAAGGCTAAGATATTAGAATTCTGAAAGCGTCGAAAAATTAATGTCATTAACTAAAGTAGGTAGAAAAAATTTGTTAATGTGGAAAGGGTTCAAAGAAATCCATTTACTAACTGAAGAAGCTCAATCGATAATTTTTGTTGATCTAAAATCAAAATTAAGATTAAGTGCCCAATTGTGATTAGCTATCAAAAGTTTATTAATTTCTCCTTCCAAAAATACGATTCATGTTCCCCTGACGAGACATTGTAACGTTTTTTCAGGCTGGGGGATCTATGTCTACACAGTATTAGGGCAGTGTTGTTACGATTATTTTTAATGTTGAAATGTGGCATTATGACGGCAAGAGGTATTTTTTAATTGCTTATTATGTACTGTTATGCGCTAGACTTTTTTTCTTTTTTGTTAAGTGATCCATTTTTTAATATAAATATCTATGAAAATGTTTTTTAAAATTTTCTTATTGTATGCTAAAACTTCATAATTATATATGCAAATTAAGAATTAAAGTAAGTATAATAGTTATCAAGATTGAGCATTTCGAACAGATAAATCCAAAATTGTTTTGGTTTGTTAAAAATCTGGTAGCTGCAAAATGGCACTATTTATTTTTTAAAAAATTGCTGTGCATTAGCAGCCAAACATAACGGATGTAACATCGGATGAAGTAAAAGCAGAACTTTTTTTTTTCTGTAAAGTACTCATAAATATCATTTGAAATTCTTCAGTGTCAAACATCCTATTTCACAGTATATCTTATATATGGTACGTTATATTTTTCATTTTCGGCACATGCCTCATATTTCATTAAATTCATTATGGGTAGACTGGTCTCACATTTCACTAAAAAACTTAATAACTTATTACTTAAAAAACTATTTACACAATGTCTTAGGAATATTATATTTCATTGAATTTTAGGCATGTTACAATGTCACAAACATGGTCGCCATTTACTGGAGGTGTTTTATTTTCAGGTAGTAGAAATTTCCAGTTCGACTCCTTAATGTTTCATATATAGTGATCGTAATTCCTTGTCTAGAACCAAAATCGTTTACCGTAAATCTATTTCTGTTTGATTCTCCATGGAAAGTCCTGTAACTCTGCCAATTAAATAATATCCCCTTTCTACTACTGCATATATCATGCTCCCAAAATTTTCTTTCCAAAATATTTGCTTTCTAAGAAGGTAATTATTTGAAATCAGTTTCCATTGAGAGAGGATTTTCTGCAACTGACAGTGATGAATCCTTTCAGAAATCTTCCTTTTACTATCACAAATGACCTTCAGCTCTTGAAAATAACTAGCGGGCTGCGACCAAAAAAAATTTATAAGTTCTATGTACCCCGGAAAAGAAAATCTATAAAAATCTTTCAGTATGAATTGAAATCAATTCATTCTTTCAAAGCAACAACCAATTCGTAAATAATTTTTCGTAGTCAAACCAGGAAACAACAGATCAGGTTGTAGAGACATTAGGTATTTTGGGAAAGCAGGCAAGATGAAAAATTAGCAACGCCTTCCCCGGGAATCGAACAGCGGACCTCTCAATTATGCGCTGAGTGTGCTGACCACTGCACCACTAAGCTCGCTAAGAAGGCGGGAGGATTAACGTTGCAATAACATATCCTGTCAAATTTTTTAAAGAAATTCTGAGACAGCTTGAGTATTTCATTGTCTACGGGCAAAATTTTAATATTGGTGTAAATAACCAACCGTGTTACGTACGAATCATAGAGAGTTTGTAATTATGCACAAAAGCTTAATTTGTAATTTTTGCAATAATTGCCTGTTTGATTGTGCTGTAGCGGCCCAAGCCGGCGCTGCGTATAGTAGGATTGGCCTAATAGTCTGTAAGTAAATTATCCTTTTCATATTTAGATGTTATTTTGAATTCCATCCGATTAATGCATAAATAGCCGTAAAAGCTTTATGCGCTTTGTTTTTGACATATTGAACGTGCGGACTAAACGTGAGTTTCTCGTCCAGTAGGACTCCTAAATATTTGATGCATTTTTCTTTTGGAACTGAAACGTTATTAAGCTTGATACTGTCAACTTCTGTTCTATTGTATCTAAAGAAAATAACTGAGGACTTTGTAGGGTTAATTTTAATTTTCCAAGCTTGGAACCATTGGGTGAGGGTATCAGCTGCCTTTTGGAGTTTTTCTTTAGCGCGATGCGGGTCGATGGAATTGCACAAAATAGCTGTATCATTCGCGTAATAAGTTAAAAGCAAGTCCAAGATGGGAGGCATATCGTTTCTGTACAAGCTGAAAAGGGTAGGCGAAATTATGCTACCTTGAGGCACTCCGGCATGAATAAATTTGCTGATAGATAGAATATTTTTGATTTTAACCTGGAAATTTCTTCTGTCAAAGTAGTTTGCAATCATGACAATTAATTCAGGTGGAAATTAGTAGTTGATCAGTTTGATAAGAAGGCCGTACCTTATCAAACGCTTTTTCAGTATCTAAGAAAAGAGCTGCGACCGTTTCTTTTCCGTTTAAGCAGGCTCCGATGTGTTCGACTAATCTTGCAACTTGCTGAACAGTGGAAAAACCAGGTCTGAAACCAAACTGATAATCCCTGAGAAGATTTTTACTTTGTATAAAATTTTTAATTCTAGTGATGATAATTCTTTCAAATACTTTTGCAATGGCAGGGAGCAAGCTTGTAGGATGATAGCTGTACTTGACCGTGCCATCGTTGCCTGGTTTTCATAACCAAATTACTAAAAAATAATTTAATTTAAGTTTTTGGTGATTAAAACTATTCCTTTCCTATTCAAGTTTTTGAGTGCTTTATTTCCAATATAGTCGAACCTGCAGCTTTCTTCAGGTTGAATTGATTAATGATTTCTTTGACTTGTCGTCAGGTTGAGTTGATTAATGATTTCTTTGACTTGTCGTGGAGTAGTGGGAGTGCAGCTAAGATTTGAATTTAAAGTGAGAAAATCCGAAACATTATTTATAATATTAGTATCCTTTGAGTTGGGGAAATCATTCGTGGTGAACTATTTCTCATAGTCGCTTGCGAAGATTTGCTATTTCTTCTGTGTCATGAGTGCTTCGGTTATTGTGAGTAATGGGGCCGATAATATTTTCTTCTTTCTTTAACGGTTTATGAATCCTCCATACGTGTGGTCCCTATGCGAGAGATTGCTGACAAAATTATTCCATATTTCATCTCGGTACTTTATCATCATTCTCCTGAGTTCTCTGTTGCAGCGGTTAAAGTTACTTCTATCTTGCAGGTAGTTGGTCCTTTGTGCTATTTTTCGAAGTCATCTTTTCGCAGATTTTAAATCTTATATTATAAGGTAATATGGATTTCTTGTGTAATGGGCATTATTAATGGCATTAAGAATTTTGTTGTTCAGGCTATTGATAGTAGAGTCTATTTCTTCTTTCGAATTTAAATTTGCAGAGGTAGAGATGCTTTCATTTATTGATTTTTGAAATTGTTCCGAGTTCGTCTGTGTCTTTATGGGGGGCAGTCCATAACGCAAACCGTAAAGGGTAAAAGGCACAGGCAGGTGGTCTGAGGATAAAAATCATTATACACGTAAATATATAGCTGCTGTGAAACATTAAAGGGCAACACTATTCGAAATAAAGCAAATTTTTATCTCCAGCGCGAACGGCTGTAGTCACTCGGAGAAATGAGTGTGAAAAATTAGCGTTTCCAGAGTTTTTAATTAATATCTCGGCTGACGAAGATGAGAAGATGAAGTCATACGAAGATGAGAATGGTCGAAATGGCTTCCCACGAATTTTTGGATTCCAGTGGGTAGCTCTCTCGAAGCTCAGCTCCCTGACATTCTAGAGGAGATGATGTCACAAACTAACATACATACAAACAGATGCACACAAATTTTAGTAGTCTAGATCCTCTTTTGCCGCGATAACATTTCATCTTTCAGACTGCTCGGATTCTCCACAAAGTCAGTTTTCAGGTAATGTTTGCAACCATCAATAAATTTGTTGTTCAATTTTTAAAGATTCCATCCCTGATTTTAAAACTTGCAGAATTTTAGCTTAATATGATTTTATCATGCATTTTGTGGAATTTTGGCTGAATGCGGTTTGTCATGTCATTGTAGTTTGATATATATATCAACTAGACTGAAAGAGTATTGAAACTTCTCGTCAGGAAACATGAATCACATGTGCGAAAAGGAGAACTAAACAAAATTTTGTTACCAAATCACAAATGGATACTTAATCATAAAATTTTCCTTAAAGCTTTTTCAGTTAGCAAATTAGATTTATTTGTACCTTTCGACATTATCGAAAATTTTTCTTCTTTAGTTAATGGTACTAATTTTTTAAGGGTTTCAAATTTCTGATATCTTAGTTTTTTTTACGTTTCATTACTATTTTCCTCGATAGATTACATTCGCTTTGATTTTATTATGAACATCATCATTTGGTTTTATTATGCTCATGATGGAAAACTGTTCCAAAATATGTTGATTCAAACCTACAACAATTTTGAATACCAAATCGTGTAAATTTGTTGGTACAAATTTTCAAAATTCAATATAATTTAAATCACTTGCAGTTGAAATAAGTTCCTTATATTTGCTTTTCGTGTACTATGGTGCTCTAGGTAAAAAATTTCGATTTGGATTTCAGGCGGATAACAATTAACGTCTTGCAAAGAAATTGACAAAGGATCCCCGCCATTCCGGAGGAGAAAAGATCAGCATTTTTTAAAATCATCTTAAAAAATCATCAAACCTAGCGCTGAATGAATCCTGCGAAATGGATATTAGTAGTTCGGAGCATTATTGACTTTACATGTTATGATGACTATTTTAGGCGACTGGCCACGCAAGCGCTTTGAGTAGATATACTTTTAAATTTGTAGGAAAAAAAAAAAAAAAAATACCTGGATAAATCGATAGAAAGCTTCCGTTTTATCCAGACTGTTCTGTTGCGTCATAATTTCTGTCACCACCAAATTTTTTATTCTATTAAAAAAGAGTAAATATCCACATAGGTAAGGGCAGTTCACCTATCAATAAAAGAAAATTACTTCATTCGTTAAAGAACTAATTTTTTAATACATTCGCCATTTTAATTAGACAATATTAGATAAGGACAGATATAAATATATATATATTTATGTTATAAATTTTATGATGTTAAAACTTTTCGAACATCATGTTCTAACATTAACAGTTGCTAAATCTTTATATATAATAAAAGAAAGAGTCTGTCTGTGTGTGTGCGTGTGTGTGTGTTTTTCGTTTGTGCTGCGCGTAAGCTACGAAATTTGGTACATTTGTGACGAAATCGCGTCATTTTGAGACATAATGTGCTACAGGAAAGCAAGATTTTACTCTACACACTCTATTTTCACATCGTCATGAAACGTAGGCACTTAGCTATTTTACGAACTTAAAATAAATTTCGTGTTTCAATAAATCGATTAAATAAGAATTTATTTAACAAAGGGAACTTAACACCTTTTTAACGGGTTTTTTTTTCTAAAAAAGTTTACTTTTAAAAATGTACAGTTTATTTTTCTTTGATTTTTGGACACGTTAAACTTTAATCCTTGCGACTGCTTTTACAAAAAGAATTTTGGAAAAATGATAATATTTTGTATTTAAAAAAATTTTTTTAAATGAAGCTTCCGAGTTTTTTTAATGAAGTTGTTATGCAGAGTAAAATTCTACGCAGTTTTTAAATTTAACGTTTGGTGTTTCCTTCAGCCATTTTTCCGGTATATTTAAAAGCAAGACGAAGGCTGGCAGAGAAGCTGCTAGTATTCTTATAAAATTATAATGGATTTCAGTATAAAAGCGCTACAAATTAAACAATATGGAAGAGAAAAGTAGTGACGTTTCTTGTCTGATCAATATTTTAATTGTTCAGAAAGAATTTTCACACTTCAGAACTCATAAATTTATTTAAAAGGAAATAAGTGTACTGCTATTTCAGGATGCTCCAATATTTTCAGCATTTTAAAATCATAGGAGTAATAATCTCTACTAATAAATAATGAAAAATCTGTTTGTATGTTTCTGGCACTGTGGAAAGCACCTATAGTCACCAAATTTTGAATATAATAGTTCTCCCCCCGAACATGTGCACCATAAAGCCCGAATTGGGAGTTTCGAAATTTTTTTTATTTCATATTTTGTGCGAGTTTAATGAATTTTTATTAACAGACTCAGCTATCTGAAAAGTAGTGGCAACACTGTTCGATATAAAACATTTTTATTTCCTGCGTACTAGACTGTTACCATTCGGCAAAATGAAAGATCTTTCAATTTTAATCAACAAACTCAACAATTTAAAATGCAAAGTGTTGTCACAGCTTGAAATAAAATACTTTTATTTTCCGCGCTCCAGGTGTGTTGCCATTCAGTAAAGCGTAAGATATTTAACGTTCAAATTTCATCTGTCTATTATTGATTAGAAAACCAAGCGATTTAAAAGCAATAGGCGTAAATCAAAATCGTAAAAACAATCTTGTATTTAGCGTAGGTATAATGAAACACTCAATCGATTTCGAGGGCAGCTAAAGGTCCCTCCTCATCAGGAGAAAGAAGTACCTAGAAAGAAGAAAATAAAGCAGAAGGAGTCACAACTAGATTTTTAATCAGAGTTGCACTGGCTGCCTACTTTTACTGAGCCAGGCTGTCTGATCGAGCATGAAAAGTTAGCGAAGTTAAAATAGGGAGCGAGGGGCAAATGCACCTTACGCTCAAAATCTGATCTTCAAATAATGGAAAGCAACCACTGAACGGATTTTTATACCCTCAGGTAGTACCAAACGCGAGGAGGTAACGCCATCTATCGGCAAAAATAACTGAATTAAGATAGTAGAATTTTAAAGGCATTAGGAAGGCCTGGATTAGACTTCAAATCATTAACTAAACCTGCTAAATCTTTGTGAATGTGAAAAGCCTCAAGAAAATCCAATTCACCTATGGAAGAAGCCTTTTGGATAATTTTTGCAAATCCAAAATCAAAATTATGGTTAAAAGTCCAACTATGATACGCTATTGAAGACTTGTTAATTTCGCCTTTTCTGACATAAGATTCATGTTCCTTGATACGAAACTTCAAACGCTCTTTTCGTTTGGCCGATATATCTTAAACCACACTGACACGATATACTATAAATTCCCCAAGAATTCAAGACGAAACGCAATCTTTTAGAATCGAAGGGTGAAGTTTATTAATAGGGGAGAAACCGACTTGAAAATTGAATTTCTGGAGAATCCGTGCAATTTTTTATAGCTAACAGAAGGATAAAATGGAAGCACGACGAGGTTATTAATATTGTTTCTAACAGTGGAATGTCTTCTTTGATGGGAATCTGAAAATTTTTTAACGGCTTTATCAATAATCACGGGAGAAAATCCACGGTGAATCGCAACTGCTCTCAAATAATTAAGTTCATTGGTAAGCAAAGATTCAGAGGAACAAACTTTAAGCGCGCGGAATACATAATAGTAAAAAGAAGCCATTTTTTGCTTAACAGGGTGGCATGACTTGGCATGGGGTGGTAAACAAACTGCAAAGGGTTTGCGGTACACAGTGGTGCTAAATCGGTTTCATTGCGGATTATAAGAATATCGAGGAAGGGGAGGGAATTGTTGGATTCATTTCAAGAGTCAATTGGATGGCTGGATCAATTGAATTCATAATAGATAGAATCTCGGATAAATCCTCTTTATAAACCGTCAAAAAGTGGCGAAGTGTCGTCAACATACCGAATCCAAAGACGAAAAGAAAGTTTATCAAATAATTTCATCTCAAAATAGTGCATATAAATGTCAGCAAGTACCGGACTGAGAGGATTACCCATAGCCAATCCTTCAACTTGACGAAAATATGCATTTTGGAAAACAAAGTGGGTTTGACTTAGTTAGTGACTAACTTTAGTAAGCGAAACCAACTCATTAATTTAAGTATGTGTAAAGTGAAATTCCCGAAGCCTAGTTTCAAGACAGTTTAGTGCTCCTTTGAACGGAACATTAGTAAACAGTGATTTGACATCAAATGAAACCATAATGGAACGAAGAAGAGAAATATTTTTAAGTTTATCAATGACTTCAACAGAATTTTTTACAGAGTGAATATTGTTAGCAAGTAGAGGAGAAAATCTGGAAACTAAATATTTGGCCAAAGGATATGAAGCAGTACCTATGTTGGAAACAATTGGTCGAAAAGGAATACCGGTTTTGTGGACTTTTGGAAGAGCATAAAGTCTAGCGCAATTAGTAATAGGTGGAATAAGCGATTTTCTTCAACTGAGTTGGCAGAATGTGGGAAGATTTAATGGCACTTTTTACTTTCGTGAGGTCCGAAGTTGAAGGATCTTTAGGGATCGAGCAGTATGGGCCTTCATTTATCAGTTTAGAGACTCCAGTAATATAAGTGTGTTTGTCCATAACAACGATCTGTCCGCCCTTATCATCTTTAGAGATAATGATATTAGTATCAGAATGAATTTCACGTAAGATTCGAACCCAAAGATTTGTTAAAATTAACGTTATGAGTAATTAGGTGGCGGATTGTATCTATCCTTCTGCGTTTCCGAAATTTTGGAGAATTTAAAGGCTTTCTCTATAGGGGCGATGATTTGAGGAATTGAAGGTTTAGATGTCTTTGAAAAGTTGAAATTATATTTTAATACTTTTAACTGATCCTCCGAAGATTCCTATTGGGATATTAACGATGGGGGTTAACGTTTACAGTGGGAAGATCAGCTAGATAGTTGAGACTATCCGACTGGTGTGTGAGTTTAAGGAATTTAGAAATAAGCACATTTTTATGCCGTTGACAAACGGTATCGGTTCTAGACCAGGATGAATGTTCAAATGATGAAAAATTTTCAGTGGAATTAGCAATTTTTAAATGGAGGTAATATAATTCAAATTCAATTTTAAATAAACGTTTGCGTGTGTCCCTTATAATGTGACGAAGAAGCCAATTTGAATTTATGCAAAATTTTTGAAACGTGAACGGAAGCTTTTGGGCTACATTTCACATGTATAAATTTGGGAATGATATTTTGATGTTTGCATTTAAGTAGAAACTGTAGATTATTCAAGAATTTCGCACGCTTAAGGCGTAACTTACAAAATCGGTTCCTGTCAGTGGACATATTGTGAAAAGGGCACAAGCAAGAAACAAGTGAACAAAAGAAATATAATTCCGAAAGTCCAAACAAGTAATTAATTATAACATGAAAAAACACCAATAAATAATGAATGAAGACAATTTTCATCAACAATGACAAAAACATTCCAAAAGGAGATAACATCCAATACTGAAAACCATAGCCACGTGAAAGAAGCAACGAAAGTCAAAATCGTGCACGTGGTAAACCGATAAAAAATAGAAATTCCTCTAAAATGCCGGTTGATATCATTGTAAGGATCTTAAGTTTTACTAACGTTTATTTTATTTTAAATCTTTACTATCACTTCTTATTTTCTACTTCCGGCCAGAATTATAAGCGTGAAGGTTTTTATGCAAAGTTTGTCTGGCGAACGCCAAGTATTTAAGTTGTGGCCTTTTGCCAAGCGAGAGAGAGGAAGCAGTTGAGTTCAAGCAGGCCGCTTACCTTAGAAGTTACGCAGTTGCTGTTTGCCTTCCAGGCCAGAGGTTTTAATCCTCTGATAAATTTAAACGTATTGTAGTGTTCACAGTCTCTGTGCTACATACGCTTCCTGTTATTATAAGGCCAATCTTCCACGTGTATTATTCTAAAGTTAAATTAGAGTTTAGTTTTATTTTTATACTTTTACGTTAGACCCCAAGTGGCGGGTCAGTTGTATTCCGAAGTACGGAAGTTATTGTATATAGAGAAAAATAAAGGGTTTTGTATACCCTTCGTCTGTATCCTGTCTACTTACCCCAGTTAGTGAACATAGCTTTAGTAAGCTCTCTGTTCCGAGTCAGGTCCTTGTATGTTCCCGAAGAAGGTTAGAAGGAACATTGACCCTGATAGTGGCGCCCAACGAAGAAGAATAACCATGGCCGAGTTTC